GCGGGCTGCAGTCCTGCAGGGTGTCACAGGGAGAACAGGAGAGCTCATCTTGAAGGATTCTAACAACTTTAAATTTTTATTTCTTAGCGATTGTAATGAAACTACACAGATTCCGGCTCATTCGTTTACTCTTGTGCATTAGAACGTATGAAGAAAAGATAACAATGTTTGTGAGAAAACTTTCAAACCATGCAGCTAATGCTGCTTTATCGCCTGAGATCAAGGATCCTTTTTTTGAGTCTGAATTTAATATATATATATATATATATATATATATATATACATACATACATACATACATACATACATATACGTGTGTGTGCTCTTCTGAAAATACCCACCTACCTTATTCCTTTAAAAACATGAGAGAAAGCAGGCTCATAAGGTGAAATAGCATATGGGAAAACAAGCTTTCCAATCCCAGGCCAGAGTTTGGGTCTTTTAAAACACTCTCTATGATTTCTGACCAAATTCCTTAGCTGGATTTTGCCAATCTTGAGCATTTAAGATACAATTATTTGTCTTGGTAAAACATTTTTACATGCCAAAGCGACACACTCACACGCATAAACCTGCAGCTACATTGATTTAAGAAAGGGTTACACCTCACAATGTAAACAAGCTTCTTCTATGGTGTAGATGCCCACATTTTTGAGAATCTTTGGGCTACAGAGCCTATTTGTCAGCTATATATTAACTTAAAGCTTCTATTCAATAGGTAGTCTCAGTAAGGTCAAGGTTTCACATTTTTACGAAAGATGTACATTCTATTACTTTGGAGTTAGCATTATGATTTCAGAGGTATGGCAAGATTATTTAAGTGAGTCTCTGATTTAAAATAAAATAATAAGCTACTCTAAGAAGTTTTATAGTGAAGTGTTAAGGACTTTGCCTTGGTCTACAAAGGCATCTTCCAAGAATGGATTCATTCTTTCTTCATCCCCCACCCTTCCTGTTTTGTTCCTTATCTTTAGTAGAGGCCACACTATAGGCAATGGCACATGACCAGGTTTAGTGTCTCACTACCTAAGGAGTTCTAGAAAAAATACGATTTTCCTTGATAATCTATATTTAGAGGTAAGACATATGCAAAGTGGAATGACACAGAGGCTTCTGAAATCCCCTGTCATTGTACCCATCCCTAACAAAACTAATGGGTTAGGACTGATCACTGAATGACACACCCCAGAAATAAAACCAGTTGATATGGCTTTATGTGACCTTCCAGTGCTTCAGATAGAGGAAGTTGAACACGGTAGAAGACAAAATTTCTAAGTATCTAGGAATATTGAATAAAGTATTCAGTGGCTTCCCCATTAAGTCACCTGAAAGTGACTAGAAGCACAGTCTTTTCTTCTTCTTCTTCTTCTTCTTCTTCTTCTTCTTCTTCTTCTTCTTCTTCTTCTTCTTCTTCTTCTTCTTCTTCTTCTTCTTCTTCTTCTTCTTCNAATAAAATAAAACAAATAAATAAAATACATCATTTAAAAAGCAGGTGCCAATTCTCTTAAGGAGCAGGGTCAGAAAAAGCCCAGACCCATTCCCCATTCTTCTTCTTCTTCTTCTTCTTCTTCTTCTTCTTCTTCTTCTTCTTCTTCTTCTCCTTCTCCCTCTCCCTCTCCCTCTCCCTCTCCCTCTCCCTCTCCCTCTCCCTCTCCTTCTCCTTCTTCTGCTGCTGCTTCCGCTTCCACCTCTACCTCTTCTTCCTCCTCCTCCTCCTCCTCTTCCTCTTCTCTCCCTCCCCCCGTGTGTGTGTGTGTGTGTGTGTGTGTGTGTGTGTAATCCATGTGTGTACATATGGGTGTGACTGCAAGTATACACATGCCATTGGGTGTAGTAGGGGTCAGAGGATAACCACAGATGTCAGACCCAAGTTCTAATTTACTTGAGACAGGATCTCTTGTTTGTAAGTGTATATACCAGGATTGCCTGAGAGCTTCAGGGAATTCTTTCTCATTTCCCATCACATTGTAGTTGTGCTGGAATTACAGATGTTCACTACCAGGCCTGGGTTTATGTAGATTCTAGGGATACAAGTTCAAGTCCTCAGGCTTGTGAGGCAAGTTCTTTATCCAATGATCTGTTCTTCAGCCTAAAAGTCCAATTCTTGACAACTCCAAAAGAAATGTAGTAAGCCTGGCGGTAGTGGCACACACCTTTAATCCCAGCAGGTAGGTATCTATGATATGAAGCCAGCCTGGTCTACAGAGTGAGTTCCAGGACAACCAGGGCTACACAAAGAAACCCTGTCTCAAAAAAACCAAACCCAAAACTGAAAAAAAAAGTCATGTAATAACATTTAAGTATATTATTACCAAGGTTACAATACCGACATAAATGAAAGAGACTGGACAAGAATTCTCTAACGAGACAGATGGTGATGGCACACTTTTAATCCCAGCACTCACAAAGTAGAGGAGGATGGATCTCTGTGAATTCAAGGCCAGCCTGGTCTACAAAGTAAGTTCCAGGACAGCCAGAGCTGTTACACACACACACACACACACACACACACACACACAAAAAAAAAAAAAAAAAGAAAGAAGGAAAAAAGAAAAGAGGGAAAGAAAAAAGATTTCTCTAATGAAATCTCATAGCCTTCATAGCGTACTCCTCAATTCACTTGTTAATTTAAAAGTAAATTGTTTGTTATTTCCTTAAGCTATTTTGCAATTTAAATGTCCTTAGACAACTAAAACAAAAATCCAATCAATCTTTCATTCCAAAGAAATGTTCACTTCAGGCTTGACTACCCATGAAGTTTACAAAAGGGAGAACAAAACTGATTGCTTCCTGTTGCTACTGCCTCATTTCCAACAGACACAAAGCTGTGGCACATGAGGCCCCATTAAATCAGGGCCATCATCCTGCGAATGCGTTCTGTAGGTTGACACTGCGAAAGATGCTTGTTGTTATTGGCAGATTTCGTTATGACCGGCAATTGGTGTGATTTGTAGGACGTGCTTTTCATGGGCATCTTGGTGGAGTGGAGTCTGTTATTCCTCTGGAGTACAGCACTTAACAGGAAGCTGGGGCGTGTTTCAGGGGAAGCCTGGAGATTTACACTGTGGAACTAGGACAGGGTAGCTTCCGTGTAAGCTCTGGCGCTCCCAATCACCCAGTTCAAGGTTATTTAAACACTGGCTTAATGAGTAAGCTTTCTGGTAGTATAACCAGGATACCAACCATCATATTAGTCTGTAGAATTACCTTAGGTGACAGTTTCAGAAACAGAAAAACAGCCAGGGATTTAATCCCTGGGTTGCCGGATGGCAAAGGGCTTAGAGTTCAAGAAAGAAAGGGACCTTTGAAAACATGGGAGATGGTATGAAGCAGTTCTCACTAGGATTGAGAAAGAATTTGTTGAATTATTCTAATCCATTTTCTGTTTTATAATAGATACTTTTGGAAACACTCACTCCTGTTTGGGGGAAAATGCACCAATATTGAAGAAGCAGCAGGGGTCTGGAGAGATGGCTCAGCGGTTAAGAGTACTGACTGCTCTTCAGAGGACCAGGGTTTGATTCCCAGAACCCCCATGGCAGCTCACAACGGTCTGTGACTCCAGTTCCAGTGGATCCAACACCCTCACACAGACAGACTTAAAGGCAAAAACACCAAAGCATATTAAATAAGTAATTAAAAAAAAAAGAAGCACAAAGACTTCCTAGCAGGGTCTAGGAAGCATGTGCTCATCATGCTTCTAATCTTTGACCACCACGCATGCTCTCTTTACCAGTTCTCTTTGACCACCACGCATGCTCTCTTTACCAGTTCTCTTTGACCACCACGCATGCTCTCTTTACCGGTTCTCTTTGACCACCACGCATGCTCTCTTTACCAATTCTCTTTGACCACCACGCATGCTCTCTTTACCAGTTCTCTTTGACCACCACGCATGCTCTCTTTACCAGTTCCTTGACCACATGACACAGACTGACAGGCCCGTGCATTCACTAAACTGTTTTTTGTTCAACTTGCTTGCAAATTCTGATTCTAAAGTCAGGAGCAAACCAAACCAATATGGCAATAGGTACAAAAAAGAATTTTATTTATTCCTTTGTAGAGCATGCTGTTCTACCTATAATGATAAAATCTAGGTTGCCAAAGACAAGACCCAAACTTCAGCTTTCCATAGGACACACAGTGACATGAAGTTAATGAGGAATAGTCTGAAAAGGACAAAGGAGTTCTTTACACCCCGCTCTCGGAGCTTGTCTCTCCAAGTTTCTAACCACATCCTCAGCTGTTGAATACACTCTGTTCTTAGGCAAGTAACCTGCATTTTGTGAAGATGGAAGCTGTAGTCCTCTTCTTTCGACAGAAGATCTAACTCCACAGTGTTGTGTTTATGTTTCATTAGCAAAGGACCATTACACACCACACAGACACACCCACGCACGCACACACACACACACACACACACACTTTTCATTTCCCAGTTGAACCCCTGAGAATCATTCTAATAATAATCAGATATATAAATAAAGAAAGAGCTGATCTTATTTGGGATATGTCATCAATGCACAGTTGGCCAATCCAACCGGTAATGGCGGCATCTCTCCAAAGACCTGTCTTTTTTCTTTTCAGTTATTGATCTCAGAGAATGGCGTAGCTGAGAAGTGGGTGGAACATTGAAAGACATATTAGCAGTAATCAGAATTAAGGTATTGCCTTGAGCAGAAACAGTAGTCTACGTAACAGAGAATTTGCTTTCCCAGTGTCCGTTGGTGACCAGAAGCAACGATAAATGCAATAAAGCTGGCTCTGGTTTTGGAAAGGTTTTGAGTTCATCTGTTCATATGAGCTTTTCTAACTGCCCAACATTCTCCTGGAAGATTAGGAGTAACCGTTTTGTGAGATTTGGGGGACGTTAATCAAGTTTCCACCATAAGTAGTTTAATAAAAAACATTCCTGGTTGTGGTCAACATCGGCACCGGCGACCCCTAATGTAGCCACAGAGAGCCATTCTGGAACATTCCGAGCACGAGTGTGGACTGACCTTCAGGTTGGTATTGTGCTATGATGGTCACCGTCTGCCCAGCCCCCTTCAGTGCCGCAGCTGCCTGCTCATGGGAGGCTCCGCGGAGATCGATGCCGTTCACCTAGAAGACAGACCAGAGTTTTAGGCACAATGTCTGCATTCTGACCGGCAGAATGCAGACAGCTGAAAAAAGTTTTCCGAAATTAATAAACTATCTAAAATTATGCCACATCCCTAAAAAAAAAAAATCCCTCCATTTCTCATTGAGGTGTTTCTTAGTTGAGTAAGTTTCCTAGTCATGATGACTTCTAGAAAGCAGGGGTATGCAATTTCATCTGGTGTTTGTGGCACAGCCTGGCTGGGCTGGAAATATTTTGTCTATCTCTGTCCACAAGGGTCTTAGTGTGTGTATTACTATTTTCCCATGGGTTTCCCAGATTTCTGGGCCAGAATGGCTTTAAAATTAGGGGTGGGGAGAATGATAATGAAGAGAGACACATGTAGTACCACAGACAAGTACGTGCCGACAGATTCATACATTCAGACGACGATCTGGGGACGATCTGGGGAGGCGGTAGGGAACGGGGCTGGCTTGCTGCCAGAGCTCTCTCTTTGGGTAAGTGCCTAGTCCTGTCATATGGAGCATGGTGAGACAGCCCCGAGTCCTGTTCCAAAATAAACTCGACTGCCCCATTTCTCATGCCCAATTCCGTAATGAATTCTGACAAAATGAAATAAGGAGTGCCTGGAGTTTATTCTGCTGTTGCTAAGTCCCATTTTGGAGCCCAGACTGGAAGAGAGGCAGAGCATCTATAAAACAAGCCCTGGACTCTGCCAGGAAGGATAAAATCATCAGCAAGTCAAATTCAATGAGAAGCCAAAGTTCAAATCTTTCTGCAAACAACAGGGCCAAAAAGTCATCAGGATGCCATTGCCAAGCGTCCGGTGTCCCTCTGAGAAGGCTCAGAGGAGAACGAGAAGCTTACCTGGCGGAATGGAAAACACACCGAGTCTGGCTTTCTAAGCAACACAGATGGCATCCTCACTGTGTTTCCTTTTGTACACAGAGCAGGATGCTACATCCAAGAGAAGACGTTAAAGATGCTCAGCTCATCTGCATGTTCAGTACATTCTCTTGCTTTGGCTGTGGGCAACTGTCTTTACTAGCTACTCTGAGTAGTTAAAGGAAGGGCGTGGTTACCGCTTTGTCTCCCTCACTGGCTTGGCTCACCTGTGATCGTCAACTTTACATTCTTGTTCCCTCAGAATAATGCTCCTAACGTCTCCCCACTAACATCTACAGTTTCTTTTGCCTTTCCTCTGGAGTTCTATCCTGGTGAATATTTCCTTGCAAGCATTGGCTATGTATTAGTTTGGGGGTGTTCACCATGCTGGGCCTGGCACACTGTGCTAACCATTAAATGGGTGACTGCCATATCATAATCCTCCCTGAACCTGTTTCCTTTCACTTCAAAAGGAAGGAATTGTTAGGCTACTGGGGTCTAAAGCCCCTCTTGTGGTAGGCTCACAGGCTTGCATACTTGATTCCTAGCTAGTGGCAGTATTAAGGAAGGAAGATCATGGAATTTTAGGAGGTTCAGCCTTGCTGGAAAAAGTACATCATTAGAGACAGGCTTGGAGGCTTTATAGTCTCATCCTACCTCCTGCTTCTGCTTCCTCTATGTTGTTGAGATGTAACTCCTCAGCTTCTCACTCCATTCATCAGCCATGTCTTCCCACCCTTATGGACTTTCCCTCTGGAGTCATAAGCAAAGTAACCCTTTGGGCCCTATCAGTTACTTCAGGTTGAGGTATTTTATCATAGCATGAGGAAAGGAGCTAACAACCGCCTCCCATCCCCGCCTTGAACTGAGAAATTCTAAAGCTACTGGAGAATAAAGGATAGTCATTTCCGAGACTGTCCAGGATGTGGATGGGTTGGCCAGACGGATTCTGGCCAGAAGGGTGAGCAAAGGCAGATTTGTCTAGACTTTTGCCCAAAGCAAGCTCAACTGAACAAACGTCAGGCGCCAAAGAATTGTAAATAGTTTCTTCTCTGGTAAAACAGTTAACTATTGTTAAAAATGGACATTACCAGCTGGGCGGTGGTGGCACACGCCTTTAATCCCAGCACTTGGGAGGCAGAGGCAGGAGGATCTTTGTGAGTTTAATGCCAGCCTTGTTTACAAGAGCTAGTTCCAGGACAGGCTCCAAAGCTAAAGAGAAACCCTGTCTCAAAAAAAAAAATAACAAATAAACAAATAAACAAAATCAAAAAATGGACATTACCAACATAAAATTTCCAAAAATAGAGAGAAAGTAGGCAGAGTCAAGGAGATGCGATGTAGCTGCCAAAGCAGAAAGATGCCAAGAACCTTTACCGGTAGGCCACAGCCTCATTTTAAAACACATATTAATAGAAATGGGTTAATTTTAATATATAAGAGTTAACCAGGAATATGCCTAAGCTATTGGCCAAACAGTGTTGTAATTAATATAGTTTCTGCATGATTATTCAGGTCTGGGCGTCCAGGAAATGAACAAGCAGTCTCCATTTATATCTCACTCATCTTAATGCTATATGCTTTATGTCACTAGTTCACAGTTAATAGATACACTGGTTCTTCAACACTTTGCTATGATAAACAATTCTACAATAAACAGCAACTAATAAAAAGTTGAACAAAGATAATTTTGATAGTCACTGTCATTACCTCTAAAACTGGGGCATGAACTTATATTCCTACAGATAAAATACTTTTGTTTTTTTCTACTAACTAATTTCATATGCTCAACATTTGACTTTTTCCATTTTGGTAAGTAAACAATTATATTTTTAATTATATATTTTTTTCAATTATGAAAATAAGTGTCTTTTATGCTAATTGGTTATTTTAACTTGTTTTTATACAAAATGTCTTTTCTATTATATTTTCTGACTTTTTGTTTAGTCAGTCCTTTTTTAAAGTCTTACTGCATGTTTAAAATATTAGTATTGCCTTTTAAAAATGCATTTTACATTATTAAACATCACATTTTATATCTTATGCTGTCTCGTCATGCAGAACTGGAAAATGTTTATTGTGTTCCACTGTCTCCAAGTCATCTAATAAATGTCCCATATTTTCCTAGGATGTGACTATAGCTTTAATTTGGCTATTTAATCTTTAATCAGCTTGAATGAATTGTTGTGTATGGAATCAAGTGAGTGGCCACTGTGCCTTAAACTCGTAAGAATCCAAGTCTTGGTCTCCACATTGATGGTATACCAGTTGGCCGAGAGGCAAGTGAAGAAGTGAGACTCTAAGTCTCATGACATTATCCCAGGCACATCATCATCTACCTGCTACATAACATTAGCTTATCATCCAGGAAGAACTTCAAAATATTCCAGGAAATCCAACCCAATTTGGGCCAATTCCTGTGATAAAACAGAGTGCTTTGGTTGAAACTTCCTGGATTTTTTCTTACTTCTTTGTTCCCGTTCAACCTTCTGAAAACTCAGAGAAAAAAAAATCCTTTATTTTATATAAATTTCCAAATATTACAAGTCTCTAGATTCTTTTCTAAGTTAAATGACCTCACTTCTTCCTCCATATCTATATATTCATCTTTACTGCTGCTCCTGCTTGTATACTTCCAGTAACAGAAAACTCTCTCTCCAATTTGCCCATTCTATATAGAACCATGATTCTATAGATCATGGTTTAGTATCCTAATGCCATTCAATTCTTCTGTGAGTCATAAGCATTATACAGTAAAACTATAGTTGACAGATCACTAAACAAACTCATGGGAGTGTATTCCAATGAGAAACCCAATTTGTAGAACTTAGGGAACACTTGTGTTTTTAATAATTGCTGTCCATTCTGTAGAAATCTTGTGAGGCCATGACTCTTCCCCGTTCATAATAGGATAAATCATTCCTTAAATATGATTTTTCCTATACTGGCAAGTGGATGACTTTTTTTCTATACTGTGGGGCCTTGGTGTGAAAGCATTCACTCAACCAAACCTTTGTTCTCATAGAAAAATCTTCATAAAGATAGTCCCTCACAATTTGTCGGTCTCCATCCATCTAATTAGCCCTAAGAAATGCATGTTTGGCACCATGGTTATCGCCTGTGGAATTGTTAACTCTGTCTGTGTGGGTATATAAACTGGAATCCGTGTGGGATTGAGAGAAACCCTGAGGAGGAATTTCAAGAGGAAACACTGAAAGGAAAAGCAAGGACCGGCAAGGAACAACGAAAGGGAAACATCAAGAGCGCATTAGAGAGCACGTCGGAAGAATAAATGGGGCATAATAAAATGACTTATGTGAGCTAATTTATTTATTCTCAGATCTTTTTAGTTAGTTTTTGCCTGCCATAGCGGTCCTTCTGAATCCTGAGAGGTTTGCGGGGCTGGCACTTCAACATAAACTTCAATATATTTCCTCATCAGAGACTCAGCTATGTGGTTTGAATCTAGGATTACAAGAAGGATGGTCAGTCATTCTGGTTATTAGCCTCCTATGTAGGCCTCATGAAAACCTATACTAAATATCAGATACAGATGACTCTTTAAAAAAATAGCCATTTTACTTATTTCTCTTTCTAATTTAAGAGAGGAGTAACAGCTATTGTCAAACGGTTTTCTATTTAGTGGAGAACAATGACAAGTAAACACCCATTTTAAATGCTAGGAGAAGACAAGGTCATAAAGTTTTGAGATACAGGCAGTATGAGCAGAGATGCGGGAGTTTTCTGGAGGAAGTACCACTGAGAAAATTTCTGAATGAATGATCCACATGAGGCTGGTTGGATGGTAGTTTCCCCAAGAAGGACACAGAAAACGCAGAAAGAGGAGCAGGCAGAGAATTAGAGTATTGGTCAGACAGGGGACATGGATAAATGTGTGTAGTAAAGAGGGCCAGGCCACAGGAAGCATCTGTTACTGAAGGACCAATGGGGAGGATGAGTAGAGGGAAGAGGGGAGAGATGGGGCAAGAGAAAGGAAGGTGAGGAGGGTGGTAGGCATGATGAAGATGGTGGGTGCAAGATACGAAGGTTTGTTCTAAGTACTTTATACAGAAAAACTCCCTTAACCTTTAGGACAACTCCATAAATCAAGAAAAAC